GTTCGCGCGGAGATGGCCTCGGCGCGCGCCGCGGAGAGCTCGCCGCGCTCGATGAGCGTCACGGAGATGCACCCCTTCTCCCAGAGGCCGCCGCCCTCGAGCACGACGGCGCGGCCCTTGGCGTGGTCCTCGACGGACCAGGTCGCCGCCGGGTCCGTGGCCGTCGCCTGGGCGATCATGGAGTCCTGCAGGTCGTAGATGCCGTCGGCGAAGGCGCGGAACCTGGACGTCGGCGCGGCGAGAGAGCTCGGCGCGGCGAGTGCGCTGGCCGCGCGCGCGATGGCGAGCGCTCGTAGGAGCACGACCATCGGAGCCGCTTGCATCGTGTGAGAGCCCTTCAAGGTGAGTTCAAGGTGCAGTTCGCAAATTGAGATGGAGAGCTTTTTGTGCGGCTGCGAGTAGCCAACGAGACCACTCGAACTCCGATGCTGCTGCTCATCGCACTCCTCACAACGACGCTACACGCGCAAGTCGTGCGGCGGTCGCCGCGGCGCGACACGTCGCACTTGGACACCGACGACGAGGGCTGCGTCTTCGACGAACAGCACCGCCGCCACTGCCTGCCGCGCCTCGTCGGCGTCGCGTGCCGCGCCGGCGTCCCACCCTTCGCACAGAGACTCCCGCCCTTCACCGCGCGTCGGCGCCGCCCCGTACAGGTCCGTCCGCGGCGGCTCGACCTCTTTGGCGACGTACCTCAACTTCCACCCGCGCCTCACGTGGGGCGAGCGCAAGGAGCACCAGTTCTTCCGCTTCCGGGGCGACCTCGCCGGCGCGCTCGAGGACCGCGTCGGCGCCGAGTGGGCCGGCAGGGTGCCGCCGGGCCACGCCGTCGTCGAGTTCTACGACGGCGAGGTGGCCGCGATCAACGTGACCTGGTGCGCGCGCGCGAACCGCGCCGCGCGACCCCGCGACGTCGCCGCGCAGGTCCACGGGCTCCTCCGGCGAGGGCGTCGCGCCGCCGGTGGGTCGACGTGTTGCCGCGGCAGGGCATGCCCCGCCGCGCCGGCAAAGAGGTTGACGTTTTCGCCCCCGCGCAGGTCGACCGGCCCTACGCGCGCCAGGGCATGCCGGGCGCGCGCGACAAGCGCAACGCGCTCTCCTGGAGGGACTACGCGCTCGAGTTCCCCGTCGCCGCCGGCGA